TTTGACAATTGGAACAAATTCTATCCCCAATTGTAATAAATTATATCATTTTAATTGATAATTTTCATGAAAAACAAAGTTAAACGAACACCAAAAAATAGAAAATTTCAGCATTTTTCAGGTGAAAAATTATACTAGTCAAACACATTTAATTAACAATTCTCAGAAAAATAAATTTTCGGCAATTCAATTTTCTATAATTCGTTTTCTTTCCATCCAAATTTCATTCTTGCAATGAAATTAGTTGGCTGCTCAAATCGAGAAATGGTACAATTAAATAAGTAAAATAAAAATAAATAGTACCAATGAGTTGGTAAATACCAATTTAAGGCAAAGTCGAATCCAATGAAAAAACACCCTATAGTGCATAGAGCTGGTGGACCAAAGCTATCCTAGGTCAAAAGAGTGTGGGTCCCAATAGGGTATAATTTGGTTCCATTTCTTATCTCCTTATGCTTTCGTATCAACAAAGCAAAGGTTGCTCGTCCAGGGACTATATAGTCATTAGCAAACTTCCAAAGGGTAAATCCGTCACCTCACGTATGAATTTTCTTTAAAATTTGTTAGACAATTATTTTTATTTTTTGGCATGCTACTTTATGCGAACAGTAGATTTTTTTCCCAAATTAGATGGGGGAAAATATTGTCACTGTTGAGAATGCCGACAAATACAGGTTTCAGTAATCAGCAGGCTAAAACGTAGTCGTTTCAACTGGACATGTACGATGATTGTGGTCCCACCTTAAATGAAAATTGAATGAGAGCAGCTTTAGCTCCACTGAAACGTGTGGGACTGTGGTCCCGTCATTTCCTTGACCTTCTATTGCCTTCAAATTCAAAAAATTCGCAAAAATTAATAATTTAATATTTAATTAATTTAGAACTGCTATTTATGAATGGGTCCAATGAGGTACAGACAGCTTGGGATTAGGACTTGAAGTACGGGGTCCCACAGAGTAAATACGGGTAACCGAAATCACATAAACCGGGCTCCACTTATTAAAATCCGGTCAACGGTCTCAAACCAACCGACCCGTATCGTCACACACTGTTGTGACGGTGCAAAATTTTTAGCTTATGCCAATTAGTATTTTCTTTTTCCTCGTCTGCCTCTCTTTTTTATTAGTATATATATTCTCACACCATAAAAATAAAGATTTAACATGAATAAAATGTATTATAAAGAAAAACTTGTGTTGTTATAAATATAATACAAACAATCAGCCATAACACAATTTAAAATAAATACAAAGATTTATAGAATCGTGACACTAAAAAAAAAAAAGAAGATATATTAAATGGTTACAAACGTATTATAAAATACCACAATTTATTAAATAATTATCTCATCAAGTTTATGTTGACTATCAGATACATTTGATGGTATCTGAGCAAAAAGCTAATTCCTTGCCGACTAATGGGCCGATGGGCATGGAGAAATACAACTACAAAGGACAAACATTCGAATATAATTTATTCTAAACAGTTAAAATCTTTCTAATTAGTCGATCGTTGGTTAATTTTTTACAATATCATTATACTAATTTAGAGAACATTTTATGCCTTTTCACTGCTTTTTGAATTTCTTAAAGACCAACATATCATTGTGCGGGCCATTCATGATGGTTTCTAAAGATAGGAAAAAATGATTGTTCGCTATGCTTTCTACAAGTTAATCATGAAACTGAAGTGTGAAGTAAATACCTGTCGGTGTTGACGTAAAAAAACATTAAAATGTTCTAAAATAAACAAAATAAAGATTATTTAGTAAAAAAAAATCATTTATTTCCTCTGTTCCACGCAGGAAAGAAAACGAAAAGCCTCATTCCGTGGTCCGAAAATTTTCTTCTTTGGCGTTTAAAAGTTTTGCAATTTTATATCTAAATCTTGATGATAGTTCGGATCAAGTTTAGTTTGTTGGAGTAGAAACTTGATTCTCAATTTTTACTGATTTTTCTGTTGTACCTAAAAAACAAATGCTCAACGTAATCTCAAGCACTTAAAATGAGAGAACAAATATTTTTTAAGGACATTGTGTAATACACGTGCCTATGTTTGTACATTTGTACTCTCTTTAGCGATTTGTATTTTTCATGCAATTCTTGATCCCTAGTTTTTTTTTTTCTTTTGTATAAAAATATATTATTATAGTCTATAAGTTTATATTAACAACACATTCAATAAAATGAATATGTAATGTAAAGTTAGAAGAAACAAAGTGATTAATTAATTTATCTATTCACAAGCTACATGCATATCACCAAGAACATCTCTTGTGGTAAACCGCAAAAAATGATTGTGTTGGGAAGTAAAAATCTTTAAAAGAAACATCCTATCCGCATATCAACCAAGCTTTTTGTTTTCTCCAATGCACATGTTTGGGCATATATCGACGGCCAACTAATTGTTTGCCATTTTATAATTTATTTTTTTTGAATTATAATGGGATAATTGTAGAAATTTCGTGCTTCTTTGATGAATTATTTGCAACCTCAAATTATTTGCCAAACTTATGATTATTTTCGGCCGAAGGGATCTACAAAAACTTGGGGCAACGAATGTGTTGGAATGGATTCATCACACCGAAACACTCTTTTATCAAAACTACTTACCAAGGATAAATTATAGCACCTAGAAATTGATAGAAATCGCATCTTTTGTGGGTAGATGGAAAAAACCAGCTAACCCTTATTTTTCTCCTGTCCGTTCAGTGTGTCGTTGTGGGGACAGATCAGAAAGTAGATTGGTATTACACGCTCAATGTCTAGGTTAGCAAGCTCATTAAAGTGGATCAAAAAGGAGGCTCGAGGGACTTCTTGGCAAAAAAAAGTCAAGAGAACGCACTAGCTAGAACTGTCTACAACATTCTAGATGGCAAGAAACAGACAAATATTTGAAGATTTTAGGCTCCACTTCGATAGTATTGTGAGACAGATCAAAACATGTATACAAAAGTTATGTTTACATTGTATCCTAATGTTTTGATCCATTTTGAGTTCTTATCTTTGGGTCATTAGATTGTGTAGTTGATATATCTTATGATTTAGTAGGGATTTTGTAAGCTCAAGTATGCCATGTGTGCTTATACATGAGTTTTGATCTATATAATTTTGCATTTACCAATAATAATAAGGATCATATCCCAATTTTGCTTTTGTCAAGCAAGTAACTAAAAACCTGCTTTCTTATGAGAGTATTACTTGTGAGTTTCATAAAATGTAAGAATAAAAGGTGAATTGATTGATTATAAGTAATTATAAACATTAGTCTAAAAATGGACATTGTAATCTCTACGGTCTTGTGATCTATGAAAATATTAAAAAGTTGATTAAAGAAAACTAGAAATACATTCAAAATAAATAGAAACGATCTTTTGTCCATAGTGAATAGGAATTATATTGGCTACCTATTAATGTGTTAATGTCACATTAA